CACACACACACACACACACACACACATTTATTTTGCTATCTTTACTTTTCATTTAAGCAAGCATGGACATTTGTTTTATAGACTGTAAAAGAGGTTTTCGAGTAGGGAGCGTGGTGATTTGACCACACTTGGGGACATTACAGACTGTCCTGTCAGACCACTGAGTAGAAGTGCTACTCATGGGTAGAGGCTAGAGTCATGGTGACTCTCCTAGAATGTACAGCCCCCCGCCTCCCATGGTTATGAGACCAAAATGGTAGCACAATTGCAGTAAAAAATTCTTGTCCTTGAAAAACAAGAGAAGTTATGTTCTCAAACTTGTCTGATCGTGAAATTTACCTAGGGAAATCCTAGTATTTATTAAAAACACAGAGTGCAAGACCTCCCCAGACCTTCTGAATCAGAAACTCAAGAAATAAGGCCTGGGATTTGCTATTTTAAACAACTTCCCTGAGTAAATTTTATGATTAAATCAGTTTGGACAAACAATATGTGTTTTGGAAAGACTGAATTTGGAGCACTCCAGTTGAGTCCTGGTCCCTCTGTGTGCTGGGTTTTGACCTTGATCATAGCCTTTGTCTTTTCCTTCCTTAAATCTTGACTTTTTGAATCAGATCAGCAGTATTCTAATTCTTGGTAGAATGGTTTGAAGGATTTAGGGAAGAGATGGCACAGCATGTTCACTGTCAAATGGAAAGCATTGTTTTATAACTCCATGGAGGAGGGTCGCTCACAGGAGCATTGGCTGACTGATGGCCAGTCTTTGGGCCCAGCTCTCCACGCACTTGCTCATCGTAGACAAGCCACAGTGGAGTTCAGGGACTGGTGTTTTCAGCGTCACTTTGTAAAAATATTAGACACACTTGTTTAGAGGTCTTTGGCTAATGGATTACTATAGTAGACATAATTGAATGCTTTCTAACATGGGTTTGGGGCTAATTCAACCCATTGTTTTTGTCAGTATTTTTTTCCAGAGCATATGGTGTCTTTTGCAACTGAAACCAATGGTGAAATTTCCCCCTCACAGATTCTACAGGTAAAATGTATTTCCATTAGAATGTGTCAATAATACCATAATAGAGATACTTTGATTTTTTTTTTTTTTTTTTTTTGGTCATGCTTGGATTTTGAAATGCTGTGTCTCAAATGGTTAATTTTTGCAGGAGCTAAAACCAAAAAGGGGGGAAAAAAGTAAAAGAATGGCTTAAATCAGTAGTCCTAACCATATTCTTCTAAGTCCTGGCTAGCTGTAAATGGTCTTAAACATTTATTTATTTATTTATTTTGAGACCTGAACATGCCTTCAGGGCATTTCTTGTTTGGCAGGTGTATCTGGGTTTGAACCAGTGCAACTTGAGCCTCACTGCTTTCTTTTTTCTTTTTTTCTTTTTTTTGCAGAACCGGGGATTGAACTCAGGCCCTTGCGCTTGCCAGGGAAGCGCTTATTCCACTGAGCCATCTCCCCGGCTCCTCTCACTGCTTTCTTAAGCAGCACTTAAACAACTAAGCTAATGGGCGGGCCCCCTTAAACATTTAAAGATATGTCATGAAAGGAAATTTTCCAAGTTTTGTTATGTGATATGTGCAAGAACATCATTAGCCTTTTAAAAAATCAAAATTTCCCATAAACTGTAGGCATTTTACTAGTTGATCCTTAGTATTGGCTTGTACAATAAACACCCTCAATCCAGTTTTTGATAAAAGATTTAGTAAATAAATGAAAGACATAAAAATTACAGAATTAACATGTATAATGACTGTGATAGACTTACTTACATAACTCTGATTTTTGGGTAAACTATGAATACTAGTTATCTAATTAAAGATTTATTTAAATTACTATCTGTTGGGTTCATTTGTCACAAATTGGCAGTTGTTTGAGATAACTTTTCTAAGACACTGTCATAACAATAAGTGAATAATTTGTTACTTTATTTTTGATAGAGTCATGCATTTCTTTTTTCTTTTTTTGTATTTTAGGAAAGGGTCTATAGGGTATTCAAAATCTCACTACTAGATTGGACTCATAGTGATTGGCCTGTTTGCACCCTCCCAAGAGCTGGGATTACAGGCACACGCCACCACGCCCAGTCTCAATCCTATCTAAATGTACCCAGGGGCGGGGCTGGCATGGCAGGCCTGGGGATTGAACCCCCAGCCCCTACGCCTGCTTGCAGGCACTTTAATCTGCTGAGCTATTTGGCTGGCCCTAGACTCATGCATTTGGTGTCACAAGCTGGAAGCCGTTCTGTGCAGGTTACTGCTGAGCAGTGCCTTCGTTATGGCTGCTGCTTTTTTTTTTGTTTTTTGCTGAGCCCTGGCATTCCCATACCCACTCAGCATTGTCTGGTCATTAATGCAGATGACTTTTAATATTTCTAATACAGTTTGATTTTAAATCTATCCTTCAGGTGTTATCTATCACATGTTTTCCCTATAGGCTTTTAAATATGGTATATTTTATTTTCATACTCAGAATATTTTACAAATATGATGAGTCCCAGGAGATTTTTCTAAGAGCTTTTTCCATGCTGCTGGCTTTCCCAGGAATGTCCCTTTATAATGTTAGGGTAAATAGCAGTAGCAGCTATACCATGGCCCCCAGATCTCAGCCCTCCGCGTGCTTCCCCCTCTGTACTGTAACCTGGTGGCGGGAAAGAGTCAGTCTTCTGCCTTCGTTTCCCAGTTCTCCTACAGTGTAGTTATATTGCTTTAATGCTAAATTATAAAAACAAGAAAAATCCTAGTCTTTGGAATCAGATAGTCCTGCATGTGCCCCTGACCTCTTCTCTCCACTGAGGCAATGTTTCCACTTTTTAAAAGGTTTCTTCTTTTTCTAGTGTGACCTCTATGACTCTCTTTTTAAAATTTAATTGGTTTGGTTTAATAACTTGGAAAGCACTCAAACTAAAAAACCTACTTGCCTATTTTGCATGTCAATTAATTAATATCTGTAGCTCATTAAATTTGAAATTTTTTTTAGCAATTTACTTTAAAAATGTAAATATTCTATCAGCATTTCCCTGAATAATCTTTTAAAATATACTACATTGTTTTAGTTAATAATTTCTCTTACTTTCATTTTTTCCCCCTTTTGCATTTGTTTATTCATAGGGATTTCTATTTTGTTCCTTTAATGAGACACCAGTGCAGTTCTCCTGTCTTGTTAAGGCATGGAGCGTAGCCCCTCACATGGAGAGCTCTTCCTTTTCCATTCTCCTTTTCCTGACAACTATGCCTGCTCTCTCGGTTCATTAATACCCTGTAACAGACTCTCCCAAACCCTGAGGGTTCATGCACTCATATTTTGCCAATAATTTTGGAGGGCAGGTATTTGGGAAGAGTTTTCAGGGAGGGTGGTTCTGAAGCACCATGATCCCCGTGCCTGTTGGCTGAGCGCTGCCTTCCACACTGCCTCTTCACCAGGAGTGCCCTGAGCTCTGGCTCCTCTTTCCCTCTTTCCTCACGATGCCTCGTCCTCCAGTGCTTTTCCTTTTTCACTGGTCTTCTCACCCATGGTAGTCATCCCTGATCACACTTCCTGAGTGACAGCTAGTTGCCTTCAAGGTTAAGATGTGGAAGCTGTCCTGCTAGGATGACACGTGGACCCCGAAGAGTGCCACTTCCACCATATTCTATGGATCGAGAGTGACAGCCGTAATCAGACAGATGCAGCCTCTCGTGGCTCAGTGCGAGGTTCAGGTAGCAAAAGAGCTCTGCGGCACACAGCCTGCCATAGCCGCCTGCCATAGCCGCCCATGGAGTGGAAGACCAGGAGGAGGTCGTGCGCTTTAGCTTCATAAGGAAGCTGACTGTGGCTCAGCCTCTTGTGTGGTAACTAAAGTCTGAATCATGGTCTGTACAGCAAGGATGTTGATAAACCTATAATATCAGGGAAATTCATGCAAAGGAATGGACAGTATCAGGACTTAACTCAGTAAATGTCCAGCTTTTCAAGTAGACATCCAAAGAGCTTATAACTGTGTTTTGCTAAGTATTGATCTCTTAGAATATATATTTTGTGAACATTTTCCTTTGGAACTTGTCTGAGGTTTTTGAAGAACTTATTTTCTATTTTACATACATTATTTTAGTAATGATTTATGAATAATAGTGACACTACTTGTTTTTACATATTTATACTTAATTGGTAAAAGCCTAAAAATTCAGTATGATAAGACTGCCTAACTTTCTTCCAGATGTTTATAAGTTCAAGTACATATCCTGAAATTCATGGCTTCTTACATGCAAAAGAACAGGGAAAGAAGTCCTGGAAAAAAATTTACTTCTTTCTAAGAAGATCTGGTTTATATTTTTCTACTAAAGGGACTTCAAAGGTAAATTGAGGTACCCGGGATGTATTATGAATGATCTCTTAGCTTCTCATATTGAGCTCTTTATTACTTGGTATCACAGTCGGTACTTTTTTTGGATCCTGAACATTAATATCATAATTTGTTTAAAAAAATTGTTTTATTTTATACTGGTTTCTCAATATCTTATGGAATCTGGCTGCTCTGACTTCATACACTGCTTCTTTTGCCTCACCCTGACGTCCTCTCCTCTTATCCAGGACTGCAGATTTTGCAGCCCAATGTGGTTTATACCTCTGGTTTTTATCCTGAGTCATAGAACTAGTCCTGTTGCTTATGCACTGTTGTAAATTAATATCAGCAGGGCAGTCATTTTCAGCTGAGTCCTTTCTTGCTCTTGCACTACTTTGTATATGTGCCTTTATTTCCTTACCTAGAAGATAAATTCCCAGGGTTACGAAGTTATGATGAGGGTTGGGAAGATGTTCTTAATTGTGTGCTGCTGTATTCCTACCCCTGTGCACACCAGCATGCCAGGGCACCTGCACAGATACCTGATGCACCCCCACCGCCACATACACGTGTATGTCCCATAGTGCTCAGCACTGTGCACTCTGTGTTTCTCTGCATCTGTCCATGTCCACTATGACATGCAGTCTGTGGTTTATGAATGCTAAAATTTTATACAGTGCATCGGTATCTCTCAAGTAAAAATGGTTTTGTGTTTCATGAGAGGTTATTATAATTCTGTTTTCATGTATCTGTTGTTACAAGTAACAGTACTATTGCTTCCTTATGGGTAAACTGGCATTTTTCTTTAGTTATCTTAAAATAATCTCACATTCATTAGTGTTCAGCAGTTTCTGTGCTGTATTATTAGGTATATTCTAATGAGCCTACTGTATCTTACTTGATTCTCTGCACTCACAGTTTGTAGACTTAGTCTTTTACACTACAAATATTCATTTATTGTCTATTTGACATTTTTTTCCCATTTTCATTATTTGGTGTTTTAAACTCTCAGTCTTGATTAGTCAGGGCTCCAGATCACCTTGGCTGTATCTAGCTCCAGTCTTTGCTTTTATGTTTACATGTCTTTCTGTTCTTCCTTGTGAGTCTTGTATAAGAATGCTTACTGTGGTTCAGGCCCACTTCAATAATCTAGGATAATTTTATCTTAAAATGCCTTAAGTACAGCTGGAAAAACCTTTTTCTAAATACTGTCCCATTTACAGTGTCCAAGACAGGGGCATATCCTTTGAGGGGCTACCACTAACC